CTCCTGGGGAGAGCCCTGCTTTCCACATCAGAGAAGTCCTGGGTGTGAATCTCAGCCCTGGCCCTTCCAAGCTGTGTGACCTTGGACAAGTCTCTTAATGACTCTGGTCCTCCACAACCTTCCCTAAAGTAGGGAAGGCGGCCCTTTCTGAGAGGGCTGTCACAGGCTCCTGTATAGAAGCCCTGGCCTGGCTGGAGGAGGCCCCCACAAATGGGTTCCTCTTCCCTCTTCTGTCCCTTTATCTCAGCCTCAGCTTGGAAAGAAGAAAGTCTGTCCCTGATGTATCTTTAGTACTACTGAGGCAGGCTGGCAGTTTTGAAAGAAGCCTTATTAAAATAAAAAGAAGGGGGAAGTTTTAAGGGAATGAATCAAGAAAAATACAAATAACTAATAAAAATAGCTAGTAAGAGGCATTGAGGGTGTCCCACCTGTCAGGCAATCTGCTTTGCCCTCATTTCAAGCTCACGACAATCCAATAGTCTATCATCAATATCCTGACATTGCTGGTGAGCAAAGAGAGGCTCGGACAGAAGGAGTGACTTAGCTGGTTAGAGGGGCAGTTGAACTGGGCTCTCCAACGCCACAAGTCCCTGCCCTTCCAGAACCTCGCAGAACAAACAGGCTCAGACAGTCTAGGTTTCTGATTCTACAAGGGAGATGGTTATACTGTTAGCTGTTGCTACCTGAGGCCGGAGTTCTAATTCTATTCCACTTGGTCTGAGGTCCCTGCCCAGAGGACCCCCTGCACTCCTCTTTAAATCTGCCTCTTTGTTTTCACCTTCATCTCTTCCAAAGATAATAATAGTTTTCAAAGTGCTCTGACAGGCATTATCCCACCTGCTTCTTATAACAACTCCGTGAGGTTTACCTGGATGAAGAACCAGGCTTGAGGGATGGTGGGTGTCCCCCAGTCACTTGGCTCAGAAGAGACAGAATGATGCGCCAGTGGCCCCGGGCTCTGGACCCATGGTTTTTACACTCACCCACTTGTCCTTCTGGAGGAGGCCTGCGGCCAGGTTACACACCTGCAGTTTCCCCTGCGCACCACCACTGTGCCTTCTGTGGGGAACTGCCTGCCTGCTTTCCCCTGGGGAGTCCCCTCTCCCATCTCTTTGTCCACAGGACCCCTGGCCCAGGCCCAGCCAGTCAGAACCAGAGTCGGGACTGGGGCTGAAGTTCCAAGGCTTCTGAGTTGGTAGGGCTTTGGCCTTGGGCTGCCGGTGCCTGGGCGGGTGGTGGATTACAAACAGATGGGGCCGCAGGGGGGCGTGGCCAGGGAGGACCTCTCTCAGGTGGTGATGATGAAAAGGATGAGAAGTGACAAGAAGGAGCCAGCTTTACCAGAACCTAGAATGAAGACGTTGTGGGAAGAGGGTACAGTTTGTCAGAAGGCCCTCAGGTGGGTATGAGCTGAGGGGCACCAGAGGAATGCGAAGGAGGCTGGTGTGGCTGGAGAGGGTGAGGTAGGATATGAGAATGGAGGCGGGGAGGCAGGGCCTCAAAGGCCAGTTCTGAGGAGGCTGGGGTGTGGTCCACTGTGGACGAGGCCAAGGCAAGGGCCAAGGTCCTAGGTCCTGACCCCTCCCTTCGCATCCAGCCCCCTTCTCCAAGGCCCCTCCCCACCGGCTGGCAGACACGTGCCGGGGCTGCCAGGCAGCCAGGCAGCCCTGAATGAAGGAGGCTGGGCTGAGGTTTGAAGTAGTGTTATGATTATTCTCCAGAAAGACGAGAGGGCACAGCTGTTCATTCAGGAAACGAGCAGCCTGTGGCACCACCCACCCACCCACCAGCAGCTGAGTAACAAAGAAATCATCTGCTGGAAACCAGGGGCTCCGCCGTGGAGGCTATTTTTGTGAAAACTGAGAATTCAAAACTCATCTCCTCTTAAGCCTCCCTTGCCTCGGAGAAGCTGACGAGGTGAGTCAGGGCCGAGGAGCCCCTTAGTCTTATTAATTCCAACTGAATTATAATTCCCGCTTTGTTACTGACGGTCAGCCCACCAGTGGGGGCCAGTCCTGGGCTAATGCAGCCTTGAAGCCACATAATCCTTTAAGGTGTATACATCCCTAAGTTGTTGGTGCCACTTGACAGATGCTGAAATTTAGGCACCGAGAGGTTAAGAAATTTACCCAGCATTACACAGCTGGTGGAGCTGGGATTAAAATGCAGGCGTTCTGGCTTCATTACACTCCTGTTTTTTCTGCTACACTACGTTGTTGCCTCTGAGGTGTCTTCAGTTCCCAGAATGCCTGTCTCCTCCGCTGTGGGACTCATCTCCAGCCTGTACTAATGATTTTTTCCCGGGAAATCAGAGTGGTCCTTCCCTCCTCTCTGGCTCTCTCCCAGTCATTTTCTCTAATTCGATGACTGTCCCTCTGCCAGCGAAGATTTTTTCTGCAGCTCCAACCACATCATTTGTTCATTCACTCGTACATTCGACAAATATTTACCGACTCCTTTCTACGTGCCAGATGGCCCAGGCTGGAAGACTGCAGTGAACAAGGCAGATACGTGCCTCGAGTTTACGAAGCTCATGTCTTGGCTAGGAAGAGACATAGTACAAAGTGCACAAACAAATCAATGTATAATCACAAACTCAGAAGAAAACAAACAAGCAGAGTAAGATGAAGACTAGGAGGGCCAAGTCCACCTGCTGAGACAGAGGCTCTGTAAAGGGGCCCTGTAAGCTGACTCTAAGGGGTAGGAAGGAGCCAGCCTTGTAAAAAGCAGGGAAGAGTGTTTTCCAAAGAGAGAACAGCGTGGGTGAACTCCCAGAGGCAGGAAAGAAGCTTGAGGTCACTGATGTGGCTGGCAGAGAATCGAAGGGCAGAGGCCACATCATGTAGGGTTTAGGGGGCCTGGCAAGAGGCTGGCTCCTTATCTGAAATGAGATGTTGTGTGTCGCTGGCAGCCTCGTAGCCTTGTCCAGGGCAAAGGTCTGGGCAGGAAGGTGGATGAGAGGATGGGGGGGCTCTCCTGACCTTGCCCTGGGCCTGGGGCCTGTCCTGGGGCCTGTGGGTGAGGGCCTCATGCAGTAGCTGCCTGAATCTCCTCAAGTCACCAGGAGGAGCTCTCTGTGATGAGGTGAGGGGGTCCTTGGCCCACAGCCAGCCTCCCCTGCACCCTTCCCTTGGGCCTAGGTCTAGGATTAGGATTAGTTTAGGTTTAGGAGGAGCCAGGCCTCCATCAGCCATCTGTTCACAGACACACACTCCTGAACACCCTGGGCCTTGGGCCTCCAGCGTTCTCAACCCTGAGTGCTCCCCTCCATCCCTGAGCAAGGCCGTCTCCGACCGCCCTGGCCGGAGGGGCCACCCCACTCACTCGCTGTCACATTACACATGGACCCTTTCACGGCAGCAGTGCCTGAAATGATCTCCTGCATCTGTGTGTTTCCCATTTCCGGTTGGTCCCACTCCCTGGAGCACAAGCCCCCAAGAGCAGGGCCTCCCTCATGCATGGTAGCCCTAACAAACAGCTGTTGAACTTTCCATACTTTGCTTTTAGCTCAAACTAGAACAGAGAGCAACGTCCTGGGATGTTTTGTTTAGGTCTCTTCTGGAATCACCGTTCCCAGTGGCCTTCAGCTGTGCCTTTGCCTCCATGGAGGGTGTTTTAAAAGTACACAAGTGAGAGTTGTTCTGGGCCTTTCCGGGCATGTCAAGGGCATCACTTTGCTCCTCAGAGCCTCCATACCTTAAGAATCTGGAGAAAGTCCATTGAGGGCTCAGAATCCAGAAAATCTGGACACCTGGTTCGTTTCCATATTGTAACTGAAATGTTTTTCTGTTTGCTTTGCCTGCTAGAAAGCTTGGAGCCAAATTCTTCCTCAACCAAGAGCAAGTTTATAGGACCATTCATATTTCAGGGCTAATCTTCTAATCTTCTCTTTTCATCCTTCAATTTAATCGTCCAACAAATATTTGTCCTGTGCTTTTGTGTGCCTGGTGCTTTTCTAGGTACCGGGGAATCAACAGTGAACAAAACAGACAAAATCCCTGTCTTCATGGCACTTACAGTCCAGAGGGAGAGAGGCAGCAGACAACCTAATAAATAACTGTGTTATATGTTGGGAGACGATAAATGCTATAGAAGACTGTTAAGCAGAGAGGTGAGGTAG